GGCTACATTTCAAGCCCGGATAGGCCTTATGGACCCTATACAGTGCCATCATGCAGTACATTCTCTCAACACGAAGCAGTGGGGCCAGTTCCCAGGCCTTGCAAACCCATCTGGCGGTGCGCAGAAAGCGCTTGATGTCACAGTGAAGTACAGAGCAATTGATGTCCGAATTGCGGCACAGCACCGCTTGCTGTGCATCAAGGCTGATGAGGTCAATACCTGCCGCACACACAGCAACAGCTTTAGGCTTTCGTGGGAGGTTGCTGGCTCTGCAGCATGAACTTACACACCGACAAGTAGCCTAGACATACTTTCACGGGTAAAACAGACCACATTCGCTCGGCTGGCAAAGTCTACATTCCTAGAAATTCAGGTCCAGGCCCATGCTGCGGCGCGAGAGGTTCTGTCGCTCCCAGAACCAGGGAGGCAACTCCTGTTCTGTAGAAGATCTTAATCGCGAGCAGAAGGGCAAAGGTAGACTAGTGCGAAGCACCATCTGTACCATAGTACCGGACTAAAGCTTAAGCGCTGCAAGGGATAAGGGTCCTGAAGAGGTACAGTGTCAGTCTGCAGTGCCGCTGCCCACATCAACTTCCTTCGATGTTTGCAAATGAGCACGACAAAAGCTATCGAGAGAACAAATCCGCTCTAGTTCAAACCCCTTTCCATTTGCCCTAGCATCAGCTGTTCGTGCATCACGGGCTTGTAGACGGCAGGACTGCGGAGTTTTTAGCCTGCGAGCATCAAACGGGGTTTTAGCTCAGATCCAAGTATCAACTCCTCCGTGAGATGGGGCCACGTCAGCGCCTCTTTGGCGAGGCCATGTACACGAGCCAAGAAATCCTCGTCTCTACCTTGGATGTGCCCGCTGAATCACTTCACCGACTATGTTTGTATACTGCCGAAGCGCTGAAGTTTCAGGGATATGTCTCGCACCCGGTTGTGTCATAGGCATACGACCTACACTTACAACAGCAAGAGCATCCGGACGTGACTTGCATGCAGGATGCGTTGCGCATTGTCGGTCGAGACATCTGTGGACGATGCCTTGAATGCTTTCCTGCTGATGCTGCAGCCCCGACCGGAGGGCCTCCTCTTGAGAAGCTCAAGGCTTGTCAAAGGCGGAGACGTCCTGTGCAACATAGTTTGGAAAAGTGTAAGGGGTGCCATCATCCCAAAAGAGACGCCCAGGCCACAAGCCAGTAGACAAGAACGGCACCACCAGTACCAGGCCCTGCGGCGAGCGGTGTGCACGCCATGAAAACCATGAGACGGAATGCC